TTTCTAATTTTAAATAATTTTGCAATTCACTATAGAAGGTACACGATACTAATTACTTGAGAAAAAACAGAAGCCACCAATTCATAATGTAATTACTTGACCTGAGAAAAATTCTTCCTAAAAATATCTAAGGCTGGAGGCAGAAATCGAAGTAGAATGTGCCAGAAAACTTTATTTGATGTACAATCTTTAAAAGTACAAACTGAAAGAGAATAAGCTTTATATGTATTATAAAGAATGAAGAAATAGTAAATAATGTAGAATGTTCACAAACATTTCATCAACAAAAAACTAAAGCCAACCAGAAGAAAAATCGAAATCGGAAAGACTGAAACACTCTCGTTTGAAATCGTGATACCTGGATATAGAAACTAAAGGAATACGTTAGAAAACTTTGAATTAATATTTAATATCAATTTTATAGAACTATCAGTTTGGTTTTCCTTTACCTAATGGGGGAGTCGTTTCCTTTTGCGGCGTTGGCAGTATACTGATTTAAATTTATGTACGTACCAATGCTATTCCTATGGTACCACAATTGGGCTCAAGTGGACTTTTTGGAAACAATGCCAAAAAATTACTAGAATTTGTCGGTCATTGCTTTTTACTCAAAAAGGATTTGTTCCTATGATATCACAGACAATCTCAATTTGTTTCTATGTGTTATCATGTGTTATCTGCACTGGTTTTTACTATTCGAATATTCTGAACTTTTAACTGTTAATTAAGTCCTTCTGCTCAGTGAGTTTTTTCTATGATGCTGTTTTTGTATTTAATTATTAATTATTGTTAAATAATAATTGATAAATTTAACTTTAAATGCTTAAATGATCAAAATCTTTTTATTGTAAAAAAAAATTTGTGGAAATGCAGACTTTTCACTATTAAAAGTGAAAAGTCTATTTTTTTGCACACTAGAGCAAGCCATTGAGTCAAAGGTAATATATCATTTTTCGCTTCTATTCGTATATAATATATAACAGTGTTCGGATGCATTCACAGTAAACACATATGGATTTACATATATATATTTAAATATATATATATATACATATTTGTGTACAAACATCCAGTTGTGGTGTTGGTTAATAGATATTCAGATAGCAAAAATAGATAGGAGAGCCAATTATAAATTTTGTTAACAAGTGAGAAATTTCGAGTCTCGAATTTGATTTCATTAACGAGAAAAAATTTTTTTTTAATTTGCAATCAAAGCCACTGCAATCTGTTTTTGTTTGATTTGGCAATGCTCCATCGAATTCTGAAAGTTTTAATTGCTTTTGGTTGAACTCACGCACGGCCCTCGTCGCGAACTGAGCATTCATTTTTCGCTATGCTTGTTGCTTTCTATGGGAAATTATGTTGCCGACACTGTCATTGCAAAATAAAAAAAAACAAACAGAAAACAACAAAAACAAACAAACAAATATACTTCTTTCTATTTGGCGCTATATTGAGTGTTGTTTACCACAACTGAAACAACAAAAACAAAAACAACTACACTAACGAGCATCAACGACTTCGAAAACATTTCTAGTGGCAAATAATGAAGTTACTTAATTTGTTTGTTGTTGTTTTTCGCTTATTTTCTTTCGATTTCACTTCAAAGCTCCTATGTGCTCTGTTGGCCACGAAGAGGGTGCTTCTGTTGTTGCTTGTGTGTGTGCGTGTACTTATTTACATGATAAGTGTTGTTGTGCTGCTAATTGCATGAATTAATTTTGTAGTTAAGAGGAATTATTTCAAGCAAATGAATTTTGCTTACAGTGTTTAACGTTAAATTAATTACATGTTATAATATTATCAGTTGTTGAACAATATTGAGGAAATAGAAAGAACTTAAAATCTATAAAACAAAAACACAAAGAATTAAATGTGTAAAAGAAAACTGTAGCTAAAAAGGTATGAAGGCAAAAGGTAAATCACAAAGAAGTATTCTTTATGGTTTTGTTTACCGTTTAAACTAAAAATAAATTAAATTTCTTAATTATTAAAAATAACTCCTCTGGCAAAGTTAGAAACTTCATGCAGTCTCAACTCAGGCTTCCATATCTAACGAATTCTTATAAATTCATTAATAATAATTTACTCTTATAATTATAAGAACTTAAGTGAAACTCATATGTTTCTACTCAATGCTAATCCTACCAAAACATATTCTTACAAAAACTTAATTCCACGGCAGATGCGTGTAATGTGTTTTTATTACATTCGTAGTAGTAAACATTAATCCGAATTGGTGTGTATTAGTAGCACTAATTGCTTCCACTTTCTCCGCTAATACGAACACGTGCTAGTTTTGCTCAATTTAATGACAAGCTTAATTAAATTTAAGCTTGAATTTAAGTTAGAACTTCCGTAGCAGTCAATAATATTCGTGAGCAATAATGTAGAAACGTGCTGTCGTTATGCCTTTAACCCTTTTAGACATTTTAAATTATAAATAAGTTGCAAATTAAACTTTAACATCGGCACAAAACCAACAACACCAGCAACAACACCAGCAGCAACAACAACAAAAGGTATACAAAATTAATACACTTGAGTGCACAGCACGAGCGATAATTCACGTACCAACGCACTAACGATTTTTTTTGCTGCTGTGGTTTCTGTTGCATATTTCAAGGCGCTACTTTTGTGGGCTCAACGCTTGCTAACAAATAACGTCAATTTGCGCTTGAAAAGGAAATTGAATATAAAACGATGCCTTCACATAAAAAAGGTCGACAAATGTCCTAAATGTTTAAGTAACTGAGGCATACTGTGGCATTCTGAGGCATTCTGAGACCTAATAAAGTCACTCAAAGGATTTGTCTACATATAAAAAATGTGAAAAACAAAATTATAAGAAACGAACTTTACATGAAAATATAAATCACTGTGGGAAAATTATGAATACAACAAATCTTTGTCAGCTATTGAGTGTGAGGAAAATGAAAAAAGGATTTTCAGTTGGCATTTGAAAAATGAAAATAACATAATTAAAGAATATATAATAAGCTTTAAACGGTATGAAAGTTATTTAAAGTTATTTCTTTTACTACCAAACAATAGGAAAGTGTGCAGTTAAAAGAAATTAAATAGAATAAATGCTTTTTATTTGAGATTAAGATATTTTTAATATGTTAAGTACAATATAAGAATACAATTGCAATGCAATATTATTTGTCATATAGTCCTTTTATAGCGCAGATACAGCAAAATAAATCATGCCCTATAATTTGGGTAAATACTTATTTACAGATATTTGTCATCTAAAAATACATTTATTTATCAGATATTTGTTATTTTTTTTTTTGATATGAATGTATAATTATTTACAATTTGTATGTTTTATAAGAGAATAGATGCTTAGTATAAAAATTCTTTTATATCATAATTTTTTTATCGCAATTAAAGTTATTTACTTTATCGTTTTACGTTTGCGTTATACATGGCATAGTAAGGTCAAGAGTAAATCAATATAGTATTCTAATCCTACAGTTCACAACCAAAAATGAAGTCGTTCTACATATAAAACCGAGTGATCAAGTGTCTATGAAAAAAAAAATTTTAGAAATTCGAGTAGTAAAGAAAAGACAAAGATAAAAATATTTAATTAATAAGTTTAATGCGTCTAAGTTTTAAACAATATTTTTCGTCATAAAGATATGTCTCACTCTCGGCAAGAAACAATTAATAAAAATTTACTTTAGAAAAAATAGCAAAGAATTTTAGACAACAACAACGAAATACTGCACTTTAAATTAAAATATGAACTATACTAAAACTGTTATAAAGAACTACACAGGTAAGCAATTTGCTCTGCATAGATGGATTTGGCATTGAATGAGGGTAAAACGAAGTGTGTACCGGTTAGTGATTGCAATGTTTATTTCGAAGATTTCATAACAACGGTACTAGCCAGGAAATCAAACAAAGACTGGTCATTTCCAATAGGTTTTACTATGGGCTTAGTGACGTGGAGATCTTTCATAACTGAGAAAATATTCGCAGATTCTGTAAACGCTACTGTGTAGTACAGAAGAATGAATACTATCAAAGAAAGAAAGCACTGTGTTTATTAGGAAGAAAGCTATAAGAGTTTTAATATCACATTTACAATAATTAATGAATCAGCATTGCGAAAAATCGCTAGCCTTCTTCTATCGTCAGCATAAAAATGACGTTCCAAAGTCAAAACGACAGGTAACTGACAAGAAGTTGGAAGAGCATGTCTTCAGTGGAGTGAGTATATAACTATATATAACTATAACTATATATATTAATATAGAAACAATGTTTTGTATCTAGTTTAAGTGGATATATTAACAGGCTGATGGAATACTCACCACAGAAGAAAGCGCGTAGAAAAACTACTGGAAACGAATCTTTCTTGATGCTGATATATAGCAAAACGATTTAAAACCCACCTGTGTAAGATTTGTTGTCTAAGAACATGTTCACACATTCACTTGTGAAAAGATACAATTAAGTGGATGTTACCTTAAGCTTACTTAGATTGGGTTGAAGTGACAGCCTTGTGCCTTAAAGCAAAGATATTACTCTCTTTTCAATAATTCTAGTTTTCTAAAATAATAAGTAATCTTATCTGAAAAATAAGATGAATCGGAGGGATTTAAATTAACTAATGTTCTTTGTCAATATTTGACTTAAGTTTAGGTAAAATCATACTAAGCAAAATAGTGGATTTTTATTTACTTTTCACTATAACTATATTACTTTTATAGATGTCTGTAGTAACAGAAACTGTTGCATATTCACTAACAAAATAATTGGATATAAAAAAAGAGATTTAAAAAAATTTCCATATAGTGTGAATGACTTCAGTATATCAAATACGAGTTTTATAAAATTGAGTTTTAATTACATTGCAAACTAAACCTCCCTTTAAAGTCCTTAAAGCATTTATTGTGGAGTGAAATATTTTCCTTTAAATGAAATGTTAGTTTCCTAAAAATACAAATGCACAGCAAAACTGAAATAAATTTCGTACTAAAATTGAAATGAAAACGTTGAAATATTCAAAAGCATTTCAGTATTTCAACAATTTCCATATCTTTTTTTTTGTGGATTTTTTAGATGTTATTGTTTAATTTCTTCTTTTTTTCAGCTTTTGTTATGCTTTTCAGCATTTCGTCGGTTGAAATTTAAGGACCAAACAATTCGTTTGTTATCAATTGCGATTGTGTTAGCTGGGACGACGGAGTTCGGGTATCAAGGAAATTAGAAAGCATACAACTGAGCATTGAATTCTTTTCGTTCGTAGATTCGTATCTTTAATTTGTCACATAATATCTTGACAATATTGAATTAAAATTTTTGTCCAAATTCCATTTGCCATTTGCCATTCTCCTGGCTACTGAATTCTCTTAAGTTACCAAAGCTCATTACTGATTTTCATGACAAATGTCATTACGACTGACTAAGTCACTGAATGACACATTGTGTATATTTTTATTTTTTGAAAATTCCTGGAATTTCATTTTGTTTTAAGTG